CTGCGGTTGCTGCCGCGTCGCCGATCAGGGTACGCTTGTGCGTTTCGAATTCGTCGAGCCCAACCAAGATTGCAAGCTGAATCGTTTGCATTCTACTTACTTAGACTACTTAGATGGCCCGTCCTCACGTGACGTGCGGGCCCCAGTACAGAAGTCGCCAGTTTTCCCTGTCCCTCGCTTCAGACATCCACGATCTTCTCGGCCGTCGTCGGTGGCTGCGTCCACGAGTTCCAGGGGCGAAAGTCTATCCAGCTGATTTCTCAGCTGGTCCATCCGTTCCACGAACACGTCTGCCCATCTCGTCGGTGGTCTTCCTCGAGGACGTTTGGCTTCGCGAGGAATCCACTCCGATGTTCTTAGTGTCCATCTGTCGTCTGTTCTTCTCATTATGTGACCGGCCCATCGGTGTTTGACTTTCGCGACGTATTCCGCTGGGTCACGAAGACGGGACATTCTTCTCATATCCGTGCTGCGAAGTCCGAAGTCCGACTAGATGTTGCTTGCGTCGGGTCATCTTCAGAAGACTGCTCTCGAGCGCTCTGTGGGTGGTCCGTAAAGCTTTCGACGTGGCTACAGTGTCGGCCCAAGTCTCAACTGCGTAACAGAGCGCCGGGAGAATGGTTGAGTCGAACAGGTGGGCATGAAGCTCCGGGCCCGCCAGTTGGTCGGTGGCTTCCTTCAGAGGCCCGAAGGCAGCCCAGGCTTCTCTTCTTCTCCTGTTAAGTTCTTCCCTCAAGTCGTTCTCCATGTTCATCGAACGTCCGAGATACACGTAGGAAGACGTCTTCATAATCGGGGTGCCTTCCAATTCCATTTCTGCATCTTCGCAAAGGGCGTTCTTCATGAACTGAGTCTTCTTCCGATTTATTCGCAATCCGATCTTCTTCCCTACTTCGTTTAGTTCCTTCAGCATCGTCTCTGCTTCGGTGATACTGCTCGAGAAGAGAACGATGTCGTCCGCAAACGAAGGTTGGACAGGAATCTCCCATCAACTCGTATGCCTCTCTCGTCCCAGTCCAGTGACTTCATCACCCACTGCAAGGCCGCGGTGAACAGCTTCGGCGAAATTGTGCCGCCTTGTCCGATTGATATGGTCAGGGGGCGATGGAATAGCTGCATCGTCGTTGTACAGTCCTTGTAACAGACGGCTAACGTCCTCACGTAAGCTGGGTCCACTCCTTGATCGACTAGCGCAGACAGGATGGCGTTGGTTTCGACCCTGTCAAAGGCTTTCTCGTAGTCGACAAAGGTTAGGACGAGAGGCAGTCGGTACTCCCGGCAGACTTCTATGACCCTCGAAACGGTCTGGATGTGGTCCATGCAGCTGAATCCTTTGCGAAATCCAGCTTGTTCTTGGGGTTGGGCTTCATCCAGTGTCCTTGATATGCGAGCGAGGATAATCTTCGTGAAAAGCTTGTACAGCACACTCAGCAAGCATATTGGACGATAGTTCCGAAGATCCTCCCGTTCACCCTTCTTGAAGAGAAGGACGGTTCTTGACGTTCTCCACTGGTCGGGAATCTTCTCCTTCTGAAGGTAAGATGTCAAATGCGACGCTAGAATCTCATGTAGACGGTGTCCTCCGGCTCGCAGAAGTTCGAACGGAAAGATGATCTGGTCCTGGAGCCGTGGACGTCTTCATGGTCTGTATCGCGGTACGCACTTCAGCAGGTAGAATTCGTGGTGGTACTTCTCCAGTGGGAACAACGGGCATCTGACGGGTGTTGATGAGCGGAAGAGGTTGGTGTAGAAGTTCATCGCGATAGATTCCATCTTGTGTCGGGAAGAAGTCGGAGTCCCGTCTTCGTTCAGTAGTGCAGCCAGCGGTACGTGATATTCGCAGAGGTCCCTTCGGCACTTCTTGAGACTTCGTCTTCTTTCGGCTGCTTCCAGTATCTTGGCTTGCCTGTACTTCCTGAGATCCTCTTGCAAAGCTGTTCTGCAACTGGTGTTGGCTATGAGTCGCTCGAGATGAGTTGCATTCGGATCCTGCCTCAATGATCTTCTTCTTTCGAGCAATTCCTTGGTGGTCTTCGAGATGCGGTCCAAGTTCTTCTCAGAAGTCACTGAGGCGCATTCTCCGCAGGCTCGCAATCCTTTCAGAAGCCGGTCGTAGTCGTACGTTGGGTCCTCCTCGATGGGCCAGTCACAACTTGATATGAGCTCTTACAGCCTGTTACCGTCATAAACGACTTCCTTCCTTCTCGCGGCACTATGGCAGACTTTCTTTTCCAGCCTTCGGCTGAGTCGTATCTTCGCTCGAAGGAGGCGGTGATCGGAGCCACTACAGAAGGATGGAACTACAGAGACATCGATTAAGCTCCACCTTCGGTTGGTGAGAATGTGGTCGATCTCAGCATGAGTCGTTCCGTTGGGCGATTCCCAAGTCCACCGGCGATATTCTTTTTTCATGAAGATGGAGTTTCCATGGAAGAGTCGTGCGGCGGAGAGGAGCCCAACGAGACGGTTGCCGTTTTCGTTTCGGAGCCCATATCCAAACTTCCCGATCCTATATTCCTTTTCTAGTGGCATCCCGATTTTCGCATTGAAGTCGCCCACAACATACTTGTAGGAGGACTTTTCGTTGCGGACGACCTCCTCCACGTCTTCGTAGAAAGCATCTAGTTCTGAGTCGTCAGCTGCTGATGTTGGCGAGTAGCAGTTGATGATGCTGATGGTCTTCTGACGTGGAGGGCGTAGTCGTAGGATGCCTAGTCGAGGTGATAGGATCTCGTGCGAATCGGCAAGATGGACGATAGATGGATGGACGACAAAGCCGACGCCTCCCACGTTTCGTGATGGAACCTTTTCACCACGAATGATGAGGGTCCCATCACTCATCTGTCGCACGTCCTCCTTCCTGGACTTCGTTTCCTGCAGAGCGATGATGTGGTAGTTGATGTGCTCTGCAGCGTCGAGAAGAGCGTGGAGGTCGGCGTTTGTGGAGACTGTCCTGGCGTTGTAGGTGCTGAGCATAAGGCAGTCTCCATGGCGTGTCGTCCGGGCAGACGTGTCGTTTTTGTCCAATCCGAAAGGCGCCCTGAGTACCCTGACATCGTTCTTGCTACTACCCGGCGCCGTAGGCGGGATACGATGTGCAGGGTTTCTTTCTAATCTTCTAACTGGAGGAGTAATATGAATTTTCCCCTACAAGAGGTGGCTTACTAGGCCTACTCTTGATTTCCACGGGGCGATCGCTGACCCCGGGCTTGGAGCGGGGAGGGACCGCCTAGCGACCAGAAGAAGCCAGACGGCGGAGGATCTGGCGTGGCCAGTTCTTAGCTAGGCATCCGGCCGAAACCGGAAAGTCGAACTCTTTCACAGCTTGGGAGGCCCTACCAGAGTATACACTCGGCTGTGCATCGCAGTTCGACACCCAGTGTCACCCCCACGCCACGATGAGGCGACCGACCATTGTGGAGGTTGCATTCTATGTTGTGATGAAAACTCATTACTTACTAGACCACCACACTTTACCGGTTTTGAGCGAGCTGTATCGCAAACTTTGAATTCTTTTCACGAACGCTATATACAGAGTTTATTGCAACAATGATTCCAAAGTATTGAGCTGATTTCTTTTTGGCTATTTTCTTTGTTGACTTCTTTCATCTAACAATTTGTGTGTTTTGTACAAATGCTAGCTTATATCATCTTAGCATCACATACTTCTTTTCTAAGCATCTGCATCCCTCCTTTATATTTTACCCTGCTGTGGAAGCAAGACCACATTTGTCAAGCAATCATTCTTTCCTTAATCTGTTCATGGTTGAATGACTCTTGCTATCTATCAATTCCATCACAAATTTTGCTTCATCGTACAAATCCAACAGGTATTTAGCCGAACACTTGTACGTTGCCTAAACAAAGTACAGTTCAGAGTAGAGGTTGAAAAACGATATCCTCAGGTAGCAAGGACAAGGCAAAAGTTATCTGTTTTTTATTCACCAGAGGCCAATAGCTTATGTTGCGAAAACATGGCAATCTTGACTGAGAACTTCAAAAAAACTTTTGGGTCTTCATTCGCGGAGGGGACATCAAGCAGTACAAAAGGGATAGAGGCGCATGGTTTCAAAGGCAGTGGCTCGGGAAAATTGCAACGGCGCGCTTTCTGTTTCTGCTTGAACTTCTGGATGCGTTTAGATCCGAGCTATGCTTGAAAGCTTCCGTCTAGGCTTTTCCTCCTCTTTTCAACAACTATAATCTCCAAACAAATCAGTAATTGCTGAAGTATCTGCAGAAATTTTGCACCCAAAGCGTTTGTCGTTCAAATTCTACGGCTTCTTACAGATGCGTGAAAAAAACTTTAGATTATGGTATAATCGGTAGACGCTGAAAATCATGGTTTGGTAATAAACTATTTTGAGGCTTCCAAATTCCAAGGATTTTGCACATAGGTGCTGCATTTTTTTTGTTTTGAGCGAAGTTATAAAAATTTTGGGGGCGTAAAAATAACTCTGAGAAGACTTGAAACGCTAGTTTCGAAAGACCCAAGAAGTATTTTGCATTGAGCAGGAGCTATTTTAGGTAATCAAATTTGTCTGAAATCTCAATGAAATTTCTGAGGATTAGCAAACTCACTCGAAATAAGAATGACGGGTTCAAGGTTTGGGAAATTTACGATAACTAGCAAGTCAACTGGACTGTTGCCCTGGTTGCTGAAGAAAGAAAGAAAAGCTAGGTTTGATACAGTTAAGGATACTCATCTATCACTATTCTACCCCATTTGCGGAAAGTTCGAAATGGGGGCAGGAAGGTTACATTACTTATGACTCAGGTTAATACATCGCGCAATTTGTGTGAAGGCTACTGCACAACGAAGGCACAGAATCAGTATTAATTGAGCGGGCGCGAACGCGATACGCGCGTATCTTCACCATTGCAAATCTTGCGCCTCATGCGCTCTGCGGCTCAAAAAGCCGCGTACGCGCCCAAAGATATTGCGCCTCCGTTATGCAGCAGCCTGTATTTTGTAATACCGCAGGTTTATGCTGTCCGTTGCAGAATCGTACATTTAGGGATGGGTAACACGTTAGCAGGCGAAACGCTTGGCACCTGGGATGATGAGGATGTTTTAAAGTGGAAGAAGGACGCAAGAATGCAACAGCAGACATTCTACCTTCAGTTTGAAGGCACTCAGTTTCATGACATTTCTGATCTGTCCGTGGCCCTACGCGTCACCAAAATAGCATTCGCCATAATCGGCCTGCCGACGACGGAGAAGGAGAAACTGGAGGATGCATACAGGTTGGAAAACGCATTTAAATAACTTGAACGCATTGGCTCGGGAAAACTTCGCCCTTCCTGTTCCTCCGCGGCCTTTTGGATACGTTTAGACAAGAGCTGTGCTTGAAAAGTGAAAAATGCTTTACGGCATTTTTCTGCCTTGGAGATTGCTGAAGAGGGTGGAGCTGAGAATCCCGCTCAAAACAGTGACTGGCTGCGGGAGACTGTAACATCATCATTTTGGCGGCAATTGGCTGATCAGCTCAGGCAACCAATCGCGACTCGGCTGCGGGAATCTCCGCTCCCTCCTCCTCAGCAATCTCCTAGGGCCGGAAAATGCCATAAAAAGCACTTTTTTGACTTTTCAAGCACAGCTCTAGTCTAAACGCATGCAGAAGGTCAAGGAGGAACAAAAAGCTCGTAGTTGCAATTTTCCTGAGCCACTGCCTTCAAAAGTATCAGCCTGATGCAAAACTGGTCATGTTCTTTGAGCAAAGGTAGTTGAAACATTGTGACAAACTTGTCGAATAGAGCGGATCACGCATTTAAACATCTGCGCAGATGCATGGAAACTTGCATCTATAATTTGAAAATTTGAATGCTAATCCGTATATTCTCTATATCTAATCTTTATGTGCACAGTGCTGTTTTTCCCGTGGCTCTACACTGAAAGACGAAATCTCGCGCTTCTGCATACATTGCTGGGTTCTTATTAACTATTTTTATGCTTTAAGCCTTCGGAAGATAGGCATAATTTTTTTTACAACCTTCTACACCTCGTCCTTGAGGATTTTTATACACGGCCTGAAAACCGAAAAGGTGACTCTGTATTTTTCATCCATTTTTGTCTCTTGTATATTTTGGCGATGCAATAGATACAGCACTTGTATGGACGTCAATGGAAAGTCATTAGAAAATCTTTGGGTGGAAATTGTTTCTTGGGTAAATAGTATTTTTTTGGTTCGAAATTTCACGTGATTAAAATTTTGTGCTTATTTGAAAAGCCATATTGTAGAGTTTGCTTTGCTTCAAAAAATGTATCTTATCTCTTCAATTTTATCCTAACTCGGTAGCATAAAACACGTGTTATCTTTGCATGCATCCTCAACTTGGATACTGCGGTGCTGGGCATAGCTATAAAAGCTAAAACTACCCTAGAAACACCATAGTCTTTTTGGAATTTTTGCATTTTTTTCAAAGCTGGAAAGAAAGAAGGTTCCCGATTTCTCCATTTATGTCCTAAGTTTATTTCTTCTAGATAGAGCCAAAGCTCCGCAACCGCTTCGCACTGAAGATTTTTATAGGAATCGCAGCTAACGCCAAAATCTATTATGAAATTTTCTGGCACAGAAACGTGTAGAAGTTATGATGTAACATGCATTTTCTAGAATAACTTACTCAAAAGCACTATGTAAATTTGCAGAAATTTCCGACTTTCTGTGGTGGTTTTGGAGCTATGATTATCAAAAGAAAGATTTTCAAGTTTTGATCTCTCAAATTCACTGGCAGTGATTTTTGAATGAAACCAATTCCATCAGAACGAAAAATGCATAAGAAACTAGAAGACAAGAGCTTTTATATTGTATTTAAAACTCCTTAGGAAAATGGTTTTCCAATCCAAGTCAGCATTCTAATAAAGGTGTACGAAAAAACCTGCATTAATTCCGTTACAACCTAATAGACTGCAACAAACTCAATTTTTTTGGTCCCAATTAATTCTGTTGTGTGGAAGTGCGGCTAGTTTTCCTGTTAGAATCAACGAAACTGAAGGCACTTCTTATTAATGGTACGCGATGAGCATAACATAGCAGTGCATTAGCAATTTTTTCAGTAAAAAGGCAAAATACGGTAAGTTTCGGGTTAGGTTCAAAATTGTACACCATTACTATAACATGCTAATTTGTGCAGAATATTCTTGACGAACTTCCGATTAGATCAATTGAGTTACAGTGACGAGCAGCGCGCATTTGCTAAAACAGTCTACGATAAAATACATGAAGTCTATATGGAGGCCCCTATCAAGCAATTTCGACTCGGCTTTATCTTCATCTGCTGCAAGGAGGGAGAAAAGCAGTACCAGGCAAATCTTCTATATCGTTGTCTTTATTTTTTATATACAAAAACCCAGCTTCAACTTCTCATGTTCTTTTTTTGGTATAGAAATTACCGCAGGGCGGGGGGGGGGGGACTGTACTTGAAGCTTACTTGTATCCAAGACAGCCGCGAGTTTAATAAGCATGAAATTATTAAAAGATCGTTTCTTTATTAAAAGCATGCCCAACACTGCTGGCTCAGATTATTGTTTTGAAATGTCTTAGAACAGCATAAGGTTGGTTTTGAAAAATGGAACGCGACCCAGAGATTCTACGAAAGTGTGATTTCTGTCTTTGTAATATTTCAACTCTCTGCAGTATACCTGTGGAGACTGATGTAGGCGCATATACGGCTATAGACAATATTTGCGAAACTCAGGAGCAGTTTCTTGCAATTTCAGAAGCAACATAGGAGCGTGACTTGAAAATGAAACATTGGAAAAAAATTCGTACTTGAAGTTTGTTGATGTTAATTAATAAAATACGCTTTCCAGGTGCCCCTTTTCCGTCTTGTATGGAACTGTGAAGGCGGTGTCAATGACGTGCGTTATATCGACACGAGCTGTCGCGTTTACAAATCCGCACAAGACTGGAAGGACAACAATCGCTTGCCAATGCTGAAATATTGCTATCCAAAGCGTCTCTTCTACACTTGCTCGGATTCTTATGATTATGATTTTGACGTCGATAAAGATGTCGTGCTGGAGTACGGAACTTCGCCAGCATGCGATCTAACCGCGCGGCTGGGCCGCATTGGGGACGTCGTCATCTCAACGACGGCCATGACAGTCGGGCTCGTGTCAATGTTCACTCCTGCCGGGTTCGTCAGTGCACCCTTGCTGCTCACCGTTGGCGTTTCAAGTGGCGTCTATGGTGCTGGCCGCGCAATAGATCGGCTCATAGATAAAGGTAGAGCAAAGATTCCATATGGATGATTTGAAATGAATTTTGAAGCGCAGTGATAGAATTCAATTTGAAGGCTCCCACGGCGAATCGTTGGGCGATCTTGAAAGCATCCTATTATTCGTTGCCATCGCCGCTTCACCGCTAAACCTGCTGTCTGGCTTCGTGAACGCGCGCCTCGCCGCAGGTTAGTTAGCTTTAAAGAATGTGCTGAACTGCGATTGTGATATTTTCGCAAACCAAAGTAATTTCCTGATTGAACCACTGATAGAATCGGAGTCATATTGTGACTCCTAAAGGGAAAATTTGCTACACATACTGGCTCCATCTTTGGTATGCTGGACCGGCAGCCGGTGCCGCAGGGAATCGAGTAGAAAGCTATGGATGACTTGGCCTCACGGCCAGTGAACACACGTTCAAACATCTTTCCAAAATCTTTTTCTTTTGGCGTTGAAACCCCATCATATCCAATAGCCAGACAGTGCCTCAAACGGTAAAACAGATTAGCAGGGTCTCAAAACATATAGTAGGGTAAATAAAGTTCGTCGCATTACGATCCCGATAGCCTTGCATGACGTATTTTCAGAAGTAGGAAAACATCAAATGAAACCTTGTTAATAACTAACTCTACCAACAATAATCTCTGTCTGCAAAGATAAAAATGTTAAAGGACATCACTTGAGTTCGGTGGTTTTGCCTGTCAAAAATCTAAATGCTATGCCGTAATTTCCGAATAGTCAGCGTCATAACCAGGGTTGAGCTCGGGGTTCAGGCGCGCTCGAGCTGGGGGCCGTACTGGGGATAAGGCTGAGGGGAGGGGTCGTAATCAAGACGATTTTGTTCACAAAATGGAGGGGATGCTACGATTGAGTGGGGTGAAGAAGAAGAGCGCGAGACCAGGGAATGTCATTCCACTGGCGAGGGAATGACTGTCGTTAATTGCATATGCATATTGATAACTCCACTAACAAAGTTTCTGTCAACGGCAAGGTCACCAAAGAGGCTTTGTGTAAAGTGGGTAAGATTTCCGTAATCAGCATGCCAATTGCCAAATACGAGCTCTACACACCACCACCTATCACATTTTCTAGTGTTGTACTAGGAAGCGTGATTTTTAAACATGATTAACTTGTTCACAAAAGTAAAAGAACTTATTACAGAATCTTCGAGATTTGTGCTAGCGAACGTAAACTAAAATGGAAAAGGTTGGTGGTAAAGTTCTCTTTGGTGATAAAGTTAATTGGATATCAGACCCCTCAAAAGCTGAGGCGCCTGAGCTTCTGTAGCCTTGCGCCTGACCCCTTAACATGTCTTAAAATTCAGAAATGGCTACATTCGTATGAATATGGAGCCCATAGCTCTTTCTTGCCACAGTGAAATTGGAGCTAAACACCCCAGCCTTACTAAATTATGAGTCTTTTGGTTGATTTTTTAGCAGCGTCCAAGATTGGTACAGACACTTACTCCACAGTATACACACTATCGTTTCGGCAAACTCGACTTTTTCAGAGTCTGGAAAGTCAAAAACACTTAAGTGAACTAACCGATTAATTATCCTTGTTGACTACAGAAAAGATACCAACCCTTTAGAAAAGCAACAGTATCAACCAAAACGCAAGATTAAGCCAGTACTCACTTTGCTAGATAATAAATTCGATGGGTGCAAACCACTTATGTCAAAAACTGTACTGCATTACTTTCATATTTATCTAGTGACCCGGTCTGACCTGACCTCATTATTCAAAAGCAGCAAAGGCTCTGATATGGTGACAGCTCATTAGTATAGGCACTCGTCCTTCCGGTTGATTTTTGGATTTTGGGCGGCTATTCAAAACGCTTTGAGTGTCTTGTGCGCTAGGATTTCGGCTTTACGCGCCAGGATTCGAACCTGCACTCCCACCTCCGCGTCGTCATGGCTGAGCCTGTGATGCATGCCTAACGCAGTATCTACCTTGCCCTTACTAAGACCATTTAAGTTCTTTGATGCGCGTGCATAGGGGGCGGCCCGTCTCGCCAATATACGTGTCTTCACATGCTGTACACGTGATAAGTAAGACAACTGATACTATACAGTCTCCTTCCTTGTCAAATGGACAAACTACACAATGAGGAGTTGTACAGAGACGGTCATATTCGCGGTTTCGTACTAAATGCTGCTTAAGGTTTGCGAGAGAAATGTCGACGATCCTTACCATATCGCTGAGGTCTGCTTGATGGAGCATTTCGCGAACAGCCTACTAAAATCTTCTGAGATGCATGGTAAACAGAATGGGATCTAATCTTCAGCTTTTGGTCTGGACAGACGATGAACCCGGTATCTGTGAGGGCGATGAGTCTCTATTTTGTATCCATTGGATCTTGCTACGGATCTTATGGCTACATGTCTAAAGACCGACATGCCTATGTGTCCTGTTCTCTACACTCTTATTAAGACAGTTCAATAACTCGCAGGATTTTAAGGTTAGGCCTATAATCAGAAGCGTTGGAGACCGACAGAAACTACGAAATCCTACGGATAGGATTTCGTGGTTTCTCAATACCATCCTCTTTCATTGGTCAGATTTGTTCCCGCACATCTCTCCGGCACAAAGAATTTTCTTGATTGCCTGCGCAGCACAAGTGTAAGGCACGTGGACACTGCTGTATCATGTGTCCCACTCAGGCCGAACTCAATACTTGCTTCAATATTTTGAATGCCCAGGACGTTAACATCAAGCTGACGAGGGAAAAACCCAGAAATGGGTGGTTGCCGTTCCTTAATGTACAGTTATGTTCATCGAAGAGACGTTCCAAGACCAGGTGGTACCGAAAGCTGAGCAACAAGAATATCTTAGTACACCATTCTTCCATCCGACACGAGTGCATCCATTTTAAGAAACATGTTCAGAACGGCTGCGGGGAGTCTCTTCTGATAGAGACGAAAAGATGCACTTGCTGGAACTCGCAAGAACTGTAGCAAGATCCAATGGATACAAAATAGAGATTCATCGCTCTCACAGATACCGGGTTCATCGTCTGCCTAGACCAAAAGCTGAAGATCAGATCCCATTCTGTTTACCATGCATCTCAGAAGATTTTAGTAGGGCTGTTCGCAAAATGCTCCATCAAGCAGACCTCAACGATATGGTAAGAATTCGACATTCTTCCTGCAAACCTTAACCAGCATTTGGTACGAAACCGCGAGTATGACCGTTTTGTACGACTCCTCATTGTGAAGTTTGTCCGTTTGACAAGGAAGGAGAATGTATGGTATCAGGTGTTGTCTATCTTATCACGTGTACAGCATTTGGAAACACGTACAGTCTTTTTCAACCGGAATACGCGAAATATCCCAAGTGGAGCAGCGCGTCAGCACCTCCACTGGCTTAGCAAGATAGATTAGAATGAAGAGACGCAGAGTGCAAAGCGGCGCGAATCGTTGCGAAGCGGCCTCCCGCCAGTCCAATTTCCGCCTGAGCTAAGTTGAAACTTACTATATATTGGCGAGACGGCCGCCCCTATGCACGCGCATCACAGAACACTTAGATGGCCTCAGTAAGGGCAATGTAGCTACTCCGTTAGGCATGCATCGCAGATTCAGCCATGACGACGCGGAGGTGGGAGTGCAAGTCCGAATAATGTGAACCCGAAATATGAAAGTGATGCAGTACAGTTTTTGACATAAGTGTCTGCACCCACCAAATTTATTATCTAGCAAGGTGAGCACTGGCTTAATCTTGCGTTTTGGTCGCTACTGTTGCTTTTCTAAAGGCTTGGGCTCTTTTCTGCAGTCAACAAGGTGTTTGATCGGATAGTTCACTTATTTGTTCTCGACTTTTCAGACTCTGAAGAAAGTGAGTTTGCCGAAACGTCAGTGTGTATACTATGGAATAAATAACTGTATCAATCTTGGACGCTGCCAAAGAAATCAACTGGAAGATTCCAACTATGCCAAGATCTACGGATAATCGAACATGGATTGTGATGAAATTGTTCTTGCAAGAAACCCGTCAGATCAAATCAACCGTCAACTTAGTAAGCGTAATGGGCAATCACAGAAAATTGGACGAACAGACTCCAAAAGTTCAAAAACTTTAGAAAAAACGGTGTCCTTCAGTATCTCGCTCTCTGACGTTCCGGAGGTGAAAAGGAGGAAGAAGGGGGTCGCTTGGGGCTTGGAGAGGGTGAGGGGTCGTTTTCGAAAGATCTGCGCCTGACCTCTTGCTCAACTCTGGTCATAACTTTTATGACCTTCTCTTTTCAAATGAGTCAATCTGTGCTAATATATCTTTCTATAGAAAGTCATGAATTTGGAGAAAAATTGCAAAAAATCATTTCCATTTCCGCTGATGTCTATAAAGCCATGACTTTTCAAGAAGTCAGTTGTTCTATGTTCAGTCATAAAAGGAGCTTCAAAAACTCATGGTGTTGGCTATTTCAGGTTTTATTGCACAACCCAGATTTTGGACCTGCTTAAAATCATTGAACTAAAAGGTCCCTTTTTCCATTTTATCTTTGCAATCAGAGCTTGAAGGAGCTCATTTGAAGAGCAAACAAGGTAAATTGAAAAGTGGTATTCTAGATATCCGTGGAGGGACCAAGTAAGGCTGAACCTCAAAACCAGCAAGATGCTGATTTTGGTAACAGTAAACAAAATGCACGTGAGCCAATTTGCAAACATAATCTGTGCCTCATTTTGAACAAATTTGCAAACCTAATCTTTGCCTCATTTCGCAATAATCAAATTTGGCTCATTTGTACGTTAAATCTGCACTTCTACTAGTATGTCAAAGCATCCATTCGTGAATCAGTTCGCTATCTTTTTCTTAACGTAAAATTGGCTGCAGGCTTGTTGAAAGAAAATATCTTGTCTTGAACGCATCATTAGATCGGACATGAAACTCTTCAAGTAGAGAAGCGATCGCCAGTATACATTGTCACTTACAGCTTCATAATGTTGTGACCATCTGAATACATTTGGTACAAGTATGTGGTGCATAAGTTTATTTTATGCAAATTCGGTCAGTCCGAACACATCAGAAGATTCCGCTATCGAAGGACCGCTACCCACTGCTATATTCTACCTAAGGTTGCTTCAGACTGCCGCACTGACCGCAGCAGACTGCAGCAGACTGCAGCTGACCGCATTGACCGCGGGGACGCACAGAACGCTACATCCTTTCGTGAAGGTGGAGAGGATAAATAGTTGTAGCTCAAACAGTCTCTTAACAATATATGCCCCAGCAGTCAACACGAGCGGGAGTAAAATAGGTATATGCAATGACAAAAGGAATCTGAACAGGTATGAGCATATTAAAGAAAAACAGTCGCCAAAATTGGATTGAGAAGAGTAAGTTAAGACCTATGAACTTTCTAGGCGTAAATCACGGTGTTTTGATGTATTCGCAACCATTTTGTCCTTTGCGAAAGGATGCAGCGATTGTACGGCCGTTGCGGTCAGTGCGGTCAGCTGCAGTCTGCTGCAGTCTGCTGCAGTCTGCTGCGGTCAGTGCAGTCAGCTGCAGTCTGCTGCAGTCAGTGCGGCAGTATGAAACAACCCTAAGAGAATTGCACAAGAAAGCGGAGTACTGCAATGCGGCCGCTCTCTTTGCTGACCAAAGGTACGATAAATGGTGCAACGGCTGTGCCCTTATTCACTTTTGGATCCGTTTGAGTGAGTCATGGCATTACGGTAGAATAAAACACCGAATATAGAAAATAATGCACATTATGTATGCGAAAGAAACGCCAGCTGCTGCTTCTCAACAGTTAGTGCATGATTGCTTCATAGCATCGTAGCAACACCGCTTGGTTAAGATCCTTTTAAATCAGAGTAGTGGCGTTTTGATAACAAAGTATACTTAATTGTGGGATGTCCGACTCTTTGACTAACAAGGGAAGGGTACCAAATTAGATTCGCCTTTTGAGATGGAACATATATATTTGGAATCACCTTTGAATGCTGATTCCAAATATGCTGTTCCTAGTTGCTTGGCGCTATTTCGAAAAGAGTTATGGGCTTGCTGTTGTGAGTGAATTTCTGAATGTCATAAGACGGCGTATCGATAAGATCTGCTCGAGAAAAGTGCTAGGATGTTGAACTAGCCCTAGATTACTTTCGATCTTGAAAGGAAGCATCATACAATTGCAAAAGTACCTAGACGTCGACACCGTAGCACCAGTAGGTCGAGGAGCACGCAAACTTTGCTCAGAAAAAAGTCCATAACTCGCTTCAGAATAACGCTAAGCAGCTAAGAACAGCATATTCAGAATCAACGTTCCACGCTGATTCCAAATATATGTGTCTCATCTTAAAAGACAAATCTAAGTTAGTATCCTTCCCTTGTAAGTAGCATTGTATCTGCTCAGATAATCGCCGGGGGCAGGCGGTCCGCAAACTCGCGCTTTTCTGCAAGCGGTCAGCAGAATTTTGTGGCGTGGCCAAACCTTTAGCGAGCGGTACTTCCTTTACTGTCTAATGTTCTGCCAGCGGGCAGCAACACAGGATTTTCTGCAGGTGCTCGTCAAATAATCTCTTTCAGCAAACGCTGGCCGAACTTTCAGCAGGCGCTCGGGCTCTTTTTACGCATTTTCGGGCGTACGCCGAGCAAAGGTGAGACTCTATGTGGCAGAGGTGTCACCGTTGGTTTAATTACTCAAGTTTGAGGTGCTTTCTCTCAGCGGAAAGTACTTGGGGGCTGCGCGGCCTTCCACAAAGGACCGTGCGGCCATCGAAAATTTTGCATATTCTTGCGGAAAGTCGGCGAGAATGCGGCCACTGCGCCGCAGCTAATCTATAAGGAAACCGCATTGTTCTCCAAGCATTCATCTAAAATTTTGCTTAAATTCTTCCAAATATCTGCAAGCGGACCGCAAGAAATCAGCGAATATTTGAGTGGATGCGCACTGTCGCAGGAAATAATAAGCAAGAGGAGAAAGTTTGGTTTGAAGGAATGATGGATGCATATTTGCTCACGAGATCAAGCCATACCTTCTTTCATTGAAAAAGATAACATGCAGTAAGAGCGCAATCATGCTTGTTGTGTTGAAGTTTTCATCCATATCTGAAGCTTCGAAAAAGTATCGGTTCAGAAAATGAAGCATAAGATCATTACGCAAAACTAGCTGATATAGTTAGATAAAATTGCTCATATCTTGCTTTGCAGAAAAGCTTATAAAAAAGGGAGAGTATATGTCAATTCCTCGTGTTCTTATCTATCGATTGGTATATCTGTTGGTGCACAAAGCTCTCCAGCTCCAAAAAAAGTCTTGCTTGTGACAGGTAAGCCATTGGAAGGGGGGGGGAGGGGAGCAAGCTAATAAGTATGCCCACCCCATTCTCGAAGAGCCACAAGCCTTTCATCTAATAATCATTACACCATCAGAAAGCTTTTGAAACGGGAATTCGATGCAGAACGTTTTTTTTAGTTTCGCTCTGCTCAGAGATACATGACATTTTACTTAAAAACGTTTTTTTGTCATTGAAATACGCAGAGAAGCAATAATTGCTCAATCTAACTGCATTACAGAGCAAGATTCTGCCGGTAAACCTAGACTGTCTTTTTTCTATGCTTTTCTTCTTCCTTTTAGGAACAAACCGCAAAGTCGATCGCGCAAGATTAGCTGGTGTTGCAGCTAGATAAAATCTCATGTGTGGGTTCTCACGGCGTCGATTTCACATATTCAGCTTTTGAATGATATATCGAGTGATAAGACATAAAGCCTCCCTGCTTCAAAATGTCTCTGTTCGATGGGCTATCAAAGCCAAAGCACCGAAAACTTTCCGTATCATGCCTCTGTACCACTTACTCTCCTCTCCATACCCTAGCCCCGGTCGACATGTAGGCTAACATCTGCAATTCCCTTGGAGCTCAATTACTCCCTTTACTTTACCAGGTCAGAAATGGGCGAAAGTGATCGCACAAAGGTGAAGGCTAACATCAGTAATTACCTTAGGGAGCTTCCAGACCGCGCCGGTTGCCGCTTCTACAACCAAAGCGCAGTGGGTCATGTCATTGTCTCCCTGGCGCGCATGCGGGGCGAAAACTCATTGGTCAATCTGTTTTTGTGCTTTTTTATGTCTTTTCCCTGGTTTTTCTGTTATAGGCTGTTTTGGAGGCGTAAGTCTTTCGACAACGATTGCTCCAAGATTTGAAACATCGCCGCCTGAGGGCAGATGTGCTAAGTTGGAGTTTACAAAGTGGACTATTCTTTCTTTTTTCTCAGTTTTGTTACGCTCAAGTTTTATACTTTTGTGGGTGATGCGACCTGAAAACTTGTTGCGATACTGAAGAGCATTTGTACAAATCCATGATCCGCAACTCACAACAAATAAGAAACACGAGCTAAACACGAGAATGAAGAAGGAAGTAGCAAGGAACATCTCTAATGTGTTCATGCTCAAGTTTCATATTTGCTGTGGGTGATGCAGTTTCTCTTTGCTTATGTTTATGCATTATCATGGGCTTGCACATATGCTCTTTAACATTCCCAGCTTCCAGACCGCGTCATTCACAGAAAGCTCAAAAATTGAGCGTAATAAAACTGAAAAAAGGGAATAGTACACTCTGTGTACTATTCCCTTTTTTTCAGCTAATCGCAGGCGATACTCAGCGCATCTGCTGTCAGCGGCGACGTTTCAAGTCTTTGAGCAACCATTATCGGAAGATTTATACCTCAAAACCAGCCTATAACAGAAAAACCAGAAAAAGGCATAAAAAGGACAAAAAACAGACTGACCATTGAGTTTTCGCTCCTCATGCGCGCCAGGGAGACCATGGCATGACCCACTGCACTTCGGCTGCAATAGCGGCAATCGGCGCGGTCTGGAAGCTCCCTTAGAGCTCAGTCAACCTTTTCAGCTAGAGGGAACCCTGCTCCCCTTATCCCAGTTATGTTGCTATAGTATAAAATGTGCTCAGTACGTATTGGATTAGAGTACCCTGATGAGTGCTGGTTTCACGGCAGAGTAATGGAACTGCCCAAACTTGCCAAAACCTACCAACAGTTTCTATTGATGTATCGAGAACGCAATCTGACATTGTAATCTTTTCATGAATTTGAATAAAAATATGCTTACTCAAGACATAGTGGTGCCAAATCAATTTAGCGTTTTCCGAAAAACATGGGCATGTTTGGGTAATACACGATCAGAGAAGAATGAAATGTTTTATAGTAAGGAGTGAGGTACATAGTATAATATTTGGGTGAGCAACGAGGCAACCCAATAAGTGACAATGTACTCATTACGAACAACATGTAAAGCACGGCGAACCGCTTGAAGGCTCAACATCAAAGTCTGTACTCAGCATATTCCAAACTTGAGCCGGTAGTAATCCCCCGTCCTAGAGCAGGTCACGCCGGCAAGTCGCCGGCAACTTGCCGTGAGGTTGCCAAAACTAAGGTTCCATCCTCAGGCCAACTAGAGCTTTTTTACAAAAAAAATTTTTTTATGAAAATGCCACCGCGACTATGAATAAACCTACTTTGTTTGAGGTTTTAAAAATCCCCTACAGAAAAATATTGAAAAGGACAAGAGTTGGTCTTAACAGCTTTGCGAGCTAACCTGCCGGCACCTGTCGAAATTTGTAAGGTGGCAGCTGCCGGCAGGTCAGGCAGCACGAGAAATAGCGTGCTATTTTGAGAGGGGAAGTTGCCGGTATCTCGACGTGCCTCTACCACCTCGAGGTGCTGACAAGTAAGAGACTAGGCTTATTATCTGTGATTTTGCAAATGATATGGAATCAAGAGATGTTGTGCAGGAGCTGCTGCCGGGCGTATCTTCTCGCAAACGGAGCGTATTTTGGCAACGTTGCTCATCATGACGACATTCGGCATCGATTCTTTCTCTATGGTGCTCAACATCGCAAGCTTGGTGAAGAAGAAAATGGAAGGTAAGAACAATGCACATTTTGCTATAGCAGTTTCACTGACGAAAACATTTGGAAGCTGTTGCTGAGGTTGTAGATGCTGGCAGTTTGCTTACTACTGTGTGTGAAATAATGTATCGTTATTAGTTGGCGCACGGAATGAACATCACTGCAGAGCACGCGCCGCGAGGTAGCTTGTCCCAGTACAAACCATTGTACAAATCGTACTCTCGAAACATTTCATTTCAACATTTCGCCGCGCGTGTCCGCAGCGTTTGAGCAGTCCATGCGGTCAACGAATCGACGATACATCGCAGATTGTCGTTCATTTCCAAATTCTTGCTACAGGCTGGGTTGGCATCGTATTTGGTGAAGTGAAACAAACACCTTTCCATCAAAAAATCTAACCTGAGTAGACGATAGTAGCAACTTGCTTTGCATCCAATGACAGAACTTACATGACAGTATAAGCTGAAAAAGGTATAAGAGCATTCGAATCAGTGGTTTTCATGCCCTGGGGAATCCTGAAGGGGATCGGTGCTTGTATGAAGTCGTCTATCTTTCCTAATTCAATGAAAAGTCGCAAAGATGTGTAAAACAATCCGTACAATGAGGCAGGGTCGTGACGTCGTATACATAATTAACTGTGGAAGTGGGATTTCTATGATTTTTTCGGTAAAATGTTTTTAGTGCTATTAGCTTGTAACATAATTAATGCAGCTTTTAAATTCCAACCGCAATAAGTCATACACTTCTCATTTCTAAGTAGGTTGCAAATTATCATTCGATAGAGCAAAGCAATCTCTACAAGGTGGCTGTCTTGCTTTAGCAACAACTTTGATCCACCACGAGTTTCGAGCCAAAAACTAAAAAGATTCAACTGTCCGAAAAATTGAGAAAAATTGTAACTCAGTTCATAAGAACCCCACAAAAATTCTAACCTGCTCACGTAAACACTATTCACATAAGACATCTATACACGCCTTTGCCGTATTTTTTTCTCTGTTGAAAATCAAGAAAACGGAAATTTTTGTGCGTTTGCCAAAGTGATGCTGTGCAGTTCCCACATAAGTAGTTGTATACTGCAAACCTGTAGAAGTTTGAACGTGAATTTCCAGCTCTCTACAGGCTTTAGTTCTCGGAAAATGTCGAATACAGTTTTCGCTAGTCATGTGGTCCAAGCTAAAATTCAAATTTCTCGAGAACTAAAGCTTGTAGAGAGCTGAAAATTTACGTTTGTACTTCTACAGCTTGGTAGTATACAACTACTTATGTGGGAATGGCACAGCAACACTTTGGTAAATGCACGAAAATCTCCGTTTACTTGATTTCTGACAGAGAAAAAAATACGGCAAAGGCGTATATAGATGTCTTATGTGAATAGTGTTTACGTGAGCAAGTTAAAATTTTTGTAGGTTCTTTATGAACTGTGTTACGATTTTTCTCAATTTTTCGGACAGTTGAATCGTTTTTGTTTTTGGCTCGAAACTCGTGGTGGATCAGAGTTGTTGCTAAAGCAAGATTGCCACCTTATAGAGACTGCTTTGCTCTATCGAATGGTATTTTGTAACTTACTTAGAAATGAGAAGTGTATGACTTATTGCGGTTGGAATTCAAAACCTGCATTAATTTTGTTACAACCTAATAGTAAAGGGGCTGATTTAGGAGATCCATAAATTTGACGTTTTACTTTTCTTTTTAAAACCTTGGCAGCTTTGTGATATTCTTCAAATTTGTGAAAAGCTATTTGGACTCACCATAAGTTACTTATTTTCGAACACATTCCATTTTTACCCAATTCTCAGTCTTCACCGTCCCGGCTGATATAGCAACAAGCTGCTAGTCATTATGCTAAGCTATTAGGCTAAACCTTTCGAGAATGGGAGGTGAAGAGAACACTCATTTGGTGATATACATCTATTTTTAAATAGCCTCCTCAACTTACAGTAATTTCCTCTTTCTTTAAAAATGAATGACATTCAATTTGCTATGGGTCAAGAGCTTATCATTGCACCCTATCGTTTATCTTACATTCTCGATATCTGAGCTTCTCTCTTTATAGTCTTTTTGGCCTAGAGTCCGTAGGAAAATGCTATCTGTTCCAGTCCGCCTCAGATAATTATTTTTAAGGCAATCTTACGAGCTTGGACGTGCTGCAATTTTCCGTCAGCCTTCTCTTCTTTGCCAATACCGTCGTGCAGCCAAAGACGGCGACAGGTGTGATCGCGAAGGCGCAAGAGGTGACAATTTTCGAAGTCTATATAGAAACGGTAGACAACCTAAAGCTAAATGAAATATCTATGATCAATCTATAGCCGTACGCACTGACAAGTCAAATGGGTTAGCTAACCCTACGGGTTCGAAAATCATGGATTTTACATATGTGTTGGCGGACCTAATGGGTTGGATTGCCATTTAGCGCCTTTGCTGGATTAGCTACGTGATATGGCGTTTATTCAGAACATGCCTTAGCCTTTTCTTAGTTATTGAGTATTGGCAGATTCCACGTATTAGAGTGCAACTGCTACTTAGGATGACAAAACTTGCTGTAATGAGTAGACTAGTATGCTTTTCGAAATAAGATATCCATAATCAAAACGACAGTTTGCTTTATCAATTTTTGCAGGTGAAAAACTTTCTTAGGAGTGCCTAAAACCAAGTGTACAAATACGATGGAGGGAAATTTGTTTATGGATGCTAATTGATACAGTTTGAGTGGCAACGTCACAATTCTACGTTTATTGGAATAATTGGTTATCCTATCATAGCTATAATTTAACGTTATCTTCAATTTCCCAACAAAGGGAATGGTTATACAGGATTTGATAGATCACCCTAAACTTGATAATGCTAATCCGACACTTAATGAACTTAATGAACTTATATAGGTGACGCGACTGATATTTTTGACGTTGACGCTTATCATTGATACAGATGCACTTTCCTCCTGTATACAAACGGGGACAAAATTGAATGCAAAACTTGTCGGATATATTAGGTTATTTCAAAAGCAATTTTTTTTTCAGAGGGCACCCATCATACTTGAAAGAAAGATCTTTAAGAGATCCTATAGGGGCTGCATGATCGCGAGAGTCGGACGTGCGTACGGCCATTGCGCCGCGCACGTCCGATGTCACTAAGGCAGGTGCCAGGCTTATCCGCTTCAACCGGTTTGTTCGTTTCATAGGTCAAATCACTACGCTGTCCAACAGCAAAGGTGGTGACCCGAATGAACCTGTTGAATAGGATAAGTCGGGCATCTACCTGAGTCGTCGGAAGCACATCTAAGTGCCCGGCGCAATGGCCGTACACACGTCCGACTCTCGCTATCATGCAGGCCCCTATAGCAGCATCTTATCCTTTTTGTAATGGTTATAGTCTCACTGGAGGAGAACGTGTGCTGAACAATGTGCTCTCAAAAAATTACCGAAACCTGCGACCCATGATTTTAAGATGCTCGAGTGTTACAATTTCTCTAAATTTTCAACTCTCGGCAGAAGTCCAAGTAACGGGTGGATAGAACAAACCCACGGGAAACAAAAGAATTTTTTTTCTTTCTATAACTACAGGGTGCGACAAAAGTCTGGGAGCCTAAGTTCGCAGTACTGCAATTACAAAGATACTAATGGTTTTGACTTCAATTTTATGCCACACTAGCTGGCATACCCGGCTCCGCCGTATGTTCTGAATAGAAAATTCCATTTCTCAACCGATCCGAACCAAACTTGGCACACATACGCTTCGGGCCCCGGCGGGTGTCAAAGTCCACTTTTCGTTATCGATTGATGCCGATTTTATCGATTTTTTGCAAAATTTGAGCTAGGGGGCTGGGATTTGGCACAGGGAGGTAATCGAGCATGCTGATTACGAATACAATATTAGTTTTCGAAACCGTGCATTACTTTAATCGATTTTATCGATTTTTTTGCAAAATTTGAGCTAGGGGGCTGGAATTTGGCAGGGGGGTGTAATCGAGCATGCTGATCACCCCCACGGGGGGGGGGGGGTGAAATCGATAAAATCGATATCGATCGATGACGAAAAGTGGCCTATGACACCCGCGGGGCCCAAAGTGTATGTGTGCCAAGTTTGGTCCCGATCGGTTCAGAAATGGAATTTTCTATTCGGAACATACGTACAGACAGACAGACAGACATACAGACATACAGACAGACAGACAAACAGACATTCAGCTTTATATATAAGATGATGCTGCGGTCATCCTCTACAGAATGCACTTTATTTGGCTGGAAATGGCTGCCATATGTTTTTTGTAAGAATGGAAATTACCAAACTGTACTTTTGCAAAGCGAAAAAACCAGAATTCGTAGTATTTACAATTTTTGCTGTAGCTAGAGATGCTGTTAATATTTTACAAAACTTCGATGCACACAACATACAAGAAGCTTTGCGCCATTGTATCCTAGTTTTGCTTTTGCCAGAAGCTGTTCTTGCATGGGCGGAAAATAGAAGTTTGCGAATGTTACCCACGTGCCAGTGGAAATACGTCTTCAGAACAAGTTTAAAAGCTATAAAATGCTCAACAGGCACTAGAACCAAGGCTGTATTTTCTGCATACGTCCTCTAAATTAGAGTCTATTAAAATTCGGCCATGGGAAAACTTTATATATTTTTTAAATGATTATTTTAAGTTTATATGGCGCAATTGTAGCCAAAATTCCGGTACTCGACGTACACATGCTTTTAATTGAGAATAAAATATTTTTATTTCTGAGCAATGCAAAAAGTTCTTTTGGAACCATGTTGTAGATAAAAAGCTTGCTCTATCGTGCTGCACATTTGTCAATGTAAAAGAAGCAGTCATTGTGAAGGCGTGGGGCGAATTCCATTACGACTACTGCCTGCCATGACAGGTGGACTTGCCAAGATTTTGTAGGTCTGCGTGGAAGCCAAAAGAAGCAGTTTTGCAATTCAAGAACTGTGCTGTATCTGCAATGGTTCGAATTATGTATGCGCCAAATTTTTCGTTTCTAGGTACTCCCCTTCTCGTTTTGTACGAAAAAGTACTAGGCTCCCAGACTTTTGCCGCACCCTGTAATAGTATTTTTTTCGATAAAATTTCAATTGATGCTACCAATTTCAATACTTGGTCAAGTAAAACCTTGTAGAACATTAAATTTCGAATAGCTCAGGTGCTATTCGATGCAGCTTTTCCACTCTTTCTAACGCTTGTTTTTTCTTCCCTATCCGTGAAGTCTTCGGAAACAAAATCATCATAGTTCATGTTTTCGAACGCGCCCTGGGCTCACCAAAAAATTATTGGTGCTTGGTACATTTGTGTCTGACGTAGGCTTGCCAGGACCCTGTGGCTTCAGTAAGAAAAATTTGAAAACCATGACGAGATATGGAAAAGACGAAAAAATTGTAATGTTTTAGTAGGGCTTGCTCTATTCACCCTTTAATCGGACTCCTTCGGAGGGTTGATTTAAAAATTTAGAAAAGTCGTATAAAATTTGAGCATCCTAAAAAGCGTGGGCCGCATCACTGTGCTGCAGTGACTTTATAACCGTTAGAAAGAGAAGTTCCATCATATATGGCGCCTTCAGAAAAGCGAAATTATTTTCGGAATGGCCTAACGCATGTCATGTTAGTTGGTAAATCCCCGGCTCCGCCTCGCGATGTCTGTAATATGTTCTTAATAGCGTGCTCACTTACCCCCTACTGATAAATGATTGATTTGCTTGGCAAGCGCATCGACGATTTCTAGCAATCAGATCTGAAATTTCCCATGAATTTAGTCCGGAGTTTGCAATTGCAAAATTCTGACATGTAAAACAAATGTTTGCGAATTTCATTGGCCGCTGCTAACCACATCTAAGAATTTCTCACCCCACTCCCAGTAAATTTGACTTTGATAAGTTGATGAGAGCAATTGATTGGCAAACTAATAATAATTCTGTACCAGCTTTCCCTTACACATCTGTAGCCAGACCAGCCTCCAAACTCGAAATTTGCATACTATTGAGCTGACAAAAATATTTAAAGTAAGAGTTGAACACATTTATTTATTATCGAAACGTGCTCACACACGTATGATAATAAAAGGAACAAGGATTACCCTGAAAGGCAAGTGACCAACGAACCAGAGGTAGAAAAATGAACAGGAACATAGAAAAAAACAATAACAAACAAACAAAGAAAAGGAAACGTAAAGTACTAACTGACAACTGCAATTAATCAATGGTCAGGAAGTAGGATGACTTGCAAGTGTATGTATGAACTTGAGCCAATACAGTTTGAAAAGCGTCTTGTTCCAAAAAATATCAGGCAGTATTCTTGCAGCGAAAAACTTTGATCTCAAAAGTGTTTTAGCTTTTGGGGCTCTGAGTTTTAACGCACCCCCTCTTGTCCTTGAAGAGTAAACATTAAAAAATTTGGATGAATCTATCTTGCATCTACCATTTAGAATCTTCAAAGCCATCAAAAGGTCAAATTTTTTTCCTCTTATGCGATAAGCTAGGAGGGGACAACAATTTACAGCGTTCTTGGCTCGCTGGTATAAGAGAATAATTTGGGCCTAACCTCTCAAAAACAATTTTCGGGTAAAATTATTTTGGACACCTTCAAGGGCAGCAGTATCCCGCACTTTATACGGTGAAGTAACAGCGGTGGCAAATTCGACTATAGGCCATATATACATTTGGAAAGCTCTAATTAAGACATTGGGGTCAGAGGTACGAAGCGCCTTGAATTGATTGTACTTTCGGCAAACGGCTTTGGAAACAACTGCGCTGTAGTGGCTGGTGAACTGAAGCTTATCATTGAAAGTAAAACCAAAATCTTTGATTTCAGTAACCTTGCTCAGAGTGATTCCGTCAATTTTATAGGATGAATCTATTGTTTTGCCTTCCAATGACATGACTTGTTTTGTAAGGGGCTAAGGGCAATTCAAATTCTTTAGATCAGAGAAACCGAGTTGATACAAGACTGCAATGATTCCATGTCAGAAGAGCTGCGTATAATTTTGTATACTTTAATATCGTCTGCATACATCAAACATTTGCAGCCCTCGGCTTCGACAATGCTAGGCAAATGAAAACTATAGATAAGAAAGGAAAGAGGTGACAGTACTCCACCTTGTGGAACACGCTGGAGATGGTTTAAGGCTCTGAAAAATCATTACCGATACGAACTTGAAACGTTCGGTCACTCAAATTTTCGATCTATGTACATGCAAAATTATTTAGACCTAAAAGCTTGAGTTTGGATAGCGACTCTG